TATATATATATATATATATATATATATATATATTAATTATATTTATACACATAAAATGATATTTTTTGAACTCCGTATTCTAATGGCCTGGTTGTGACCTACCAGATAGAGCCCGATGTTCAGTAATGGGTTCAGTTATACAAAGAGATAGGTGCCGTTATACATAGAAGTAGGTGCCGTTATACATAGAGGTAGGTGCCGTTATACATAGAGGTAGGCCACCGTCTTGTTATAAGCTAATTTATATAATCAGTAAGGCACCTGTATACAGTAATGTGGGTTCCTCGTCTAGTTATAGAAGCAGTAAGATACCTATATACAGTGATGTGGGTTCCTCTCTAGTTATAGAAGCAGTAAGATACATATATACAATGATTTCTGTCAATATTTGATCAAATATAACTAAGGCTTAACGACTTTTTAAACTCCACTTAAATTAAGTGTTTCCATTATAGTTTCAGGTAACCGTAGCGGTATATTATTTTTATTGATCATTTGCACTTTATAAGGATCTATGCTCACTTTTCAAAGATCTTTTCCATTAAATATTAAAAATATTTGAGGTCCATTTAAAATGGACTTATTTATCCCATTTGACCCCATCAAAAAAATGAAATGTTGGCTAACAAGTATGGGTGCATTTTATGTTGTTTCCATTGAACTCACTCATACACTCACTGACACATTCACTATTAAATTAACTCATAAATTCACTAATAAAATTTCTCATAAATTCACTCATAAATTCACTCATAAATTCACCCATTTGTTTGAGAACAATAGAGAATTAAAATATTGTTTCATAATATGAGTTTATCCTTCTTTTCTTACCCACGTTCGGGAAAAGATGTCTGAAGCTGCACACGTCTGTCATCTTTACATCGCTCCGTGTGTAAATGTGGTTTCTATCTCTGGTGAATATTTGTAATGCTAAGTTAATAATTCAAGAAACTCATATCTTTACCCAGTGCAATTATAATGCAGATGATACACTATTGACTGCCTTGTATCTACTTATATTTGATAAATAAAACATAAATTTCACAGATTATTAATTGTATTTATTTTTTCTATAATTTTTACACACGTATCTAAATCATTGATACATTAGTCGAACAAATTGAAGTAGAATCTGTATTAATTTTATTTGACTCTGTGTTTGCATCAATAACACCTTCTATAACCGTATCTGTCTACCAATGTACCAGTAACTAGTACATGAATAACACCTTCTACAACCGTATCTGTCTACCAATGTACCAGTAACTGGTACATCAATAACACCTTCTATAACCGTATCTGTCTACCAATGTACCAGTAACTAGTACATCAATAACACCTTCTATAACAGTATCTGTCTACCAATGTACCAGTAACTAGTACATCAATAACACCTTCTATAACCGTATCTGTCTACCAATGTACCAGTAACTAGTACACCAATAACACCTTCTATATTCGTATCTGTCTACCAATGTACCAGTAACTGGTACATCAATAACACCTTCTATAACCGTATCTGTCTACCAATGTACCAGTAACTGGTACATCAATAACACCTTCTATAACCGTATATGTCTACCAATGTACCAGTAACTGGTACATCAATAACACCTTCTATAACCGTATCGGTCTACCAATGTACCAGTAACTGGTACATCAATAACACCTTCTATAACCTTATCTGTCTACCAATGTACCAGTAACTGGTACATCAATAACACCTTCTATAACCGTATCTGTCTACCAATGTACCAGTAACTGGTTCATCAATAACACCTTCTATAACCGTATCGGTCTACCAATGTACCAGTAACTGGTACATCAATAACACCTTCTATAACCGTATCTGTCTACCAATGTACCAGTAACTGGTACATCAATAACACCTTCTATAACCGTATCTGTCTACCAATGTACCAGTAACTGGTACATCAATAACACCTTCTATAACCGTATCTGTCTACCAATGTACAAGTAACTGGTTCATCAATAACACCTTCTATAACCGTATCTGTCTACCAATGTACCAGTAACTGGTACATCAATAACACCCTCTTTAACAGTATCTGTCTACCAACTGGTACATTGATAATGCCGTGAAGAAAGAAAGGAAAAAATACATTTGCATTGTGTTTAATTTTAAGGTTTCATGCTAAGTGAAAGAACGATTCAAAATGGCTTATTAGTCCTCTCAAGCCAGAACGCTCCCGGAGACTTTCCTTACACAATTTGTGTTGGATTTGCACACAACTTTAATCTTGTTCTGTTATTTTAACAATGCAAGCTGTTGACACGGGATTGTAAACGAGTCGTCTATAAGGTTTTATTGTTAATTTGCAACACCTCAATGCAAATCACGCGCATAGGCAAATAGGTTTTGGTGAGGGAGCATCTAGGCCAGTGGTTCTCAACCTTTCTAATGCCGTGACCCTATGAAACAGTTCTTCATGTTGACCCCCGATGATAATTTTTTTTTCACTGCTACTTCATCAGTATATGTTTTCCGATGATCTTAGGTGACCCATGTGTAAGGGTCCTCCGACACTCAAAAGAGTCGCGACCCACAGGTTAAGAATCGCTGATGTAGGCGATGATAAAATAAGAGATTATTTTGGGTTTAAAATTTAAAAAAAAATCGCTTCTCATTTGGGTTATCTTGTTTGAGTTAAAACCAACAGATTCCTGAGGTACGTAGTGATGGGCCGCCACATTCCTAAAACATTCTCGGCTCTAATAAGTGTGCCGTGGGTTCGTACTCAGTGACTGTGAAGTTCATGTGCAATTAAGACGTCAATCAGGGCTCGTACTCGGTGTGTTCGGTTGGGTTCAGTTCGATTCCCATCTCCAGATGAATGTTTATGCTACCAGAGAATGAGACAAGATATTACTGCAGCCCACTAAAGGAGTGAAAGATCGATTCACATATTTCAAGTTAATGAAATATAATGTTTATTTTTCTATAACCAAAAAAGTTTCCCTTTTTATTTGCATTCCCTGGCAAGTTTCATGAGTACAGCTTCCTTTCTCCATTCTTGTCAATTTAAACATGTTTTTATTATCAAAAAACAAGGCCAAGATAAGCCCACATAATAGATCCATTTTTATACAGGAAATGCTTACATCCGTATTTTTTTCCAAGAAATTTTTTAATTAATCCGATTCTCTTACACCGTGCAATGACGTAAACTGTACTTGCTCTCTTGATTTAAGAGTTCTTTCCCTGTAAAAAAAAGTTTAAACAAAGTACATCCGCCACTTGCATTTTGTTTTTCCCCAGAAATTATATCAATATGTCCCATGTTCTTTCCTGAAAAACTGGTAAATATGGTTACAATAAAATAGCTTACACTTTAGTCGCTCTGTTATTGTTAGCGCTATATCCATAAGGGAAAAAAAAGGTGTAAATAAAAAGAATGATCTCGCATTTTTCATTTTAACTACTTTTTGCTAACTACAATAAATTTCCTGTAAAAATTCTCAGTTCGAGTAAAACAATTCCGATTGTAAATCACAGTGTAACACAGGTAAAAAAAATAATTAAACGAGTTTTTGATGATGACAAGACAATTATCTGACACATGACACCTACAAGCCCTCAGGACAGGTCATCAAGGTGTAAGGTGACAGCTGTCGACGTACCAAGAAAGAATGCCCGGAGGGGACAAGCCGTTGGGCTAGAGATTCCCATCTTATTTACTATAGGAGGTTTCTAGTTGCTCAATGGGAAACTGGGATTGAAATCACATAATAAAGTTAAGAAGAATCAGGCAATCATTTAAAACTTTGTAAGCTAATAGCTAACTCTGTACATATTGTTAGCACATATCTACCTCTGTACACTTGGTAATCACATATCTATCTCTGTACACTTGGTAAGTACATATCTACCTCTGTACACATTGCTAGCACATGTCTACCGCTGTAAACATTGCCAGCACATATCTACCTCTGTACACATTTGCTAGCACATATCCACCTATGTACACAATGTTAGCACATTCCTAACACGTTACTAAATGAGTAGAATACATAATTTAAACATATTTCGCTGGATTCATGAACCGTTGAAAAAATGACTTAATTTTTTAAGGTTCAGATTAAATGATGTAGAGTCATGTAGGTGGAACCTCATTCCCGTACATTAGCTTGTCCTTAACCTTGAACTTATTTATTTTATTTTTTTTTCACTCTCATTTGTTCTTGTCAAGGATGCAATGTTCTGAACAGGGTAATCTTAAACAAAAATCTCTAGACTGAATTGTACTGTTAGACTTAGGAATAAATAATACAATATTTTTCGTTAAATGTTTATGTCTGATGCGCCATAAACTGTATTACGTTTTACTTATTATTATTAAGTGAAAACTCTTTAAAAATACACATTTAAATATTGCTTTGAAAACGAAAGACAACAAAAAAAGGATGACGTGTAATTTTGTAATATTCAAAAACAGAAACGGGAAAACAAATAGTTTCGTTTCTTCAGACAATGAAATTTGAAACATTTTTTGAAGGGCGATGAAACAATTATTAATATTTCACACTCAAACTTACTTTCGAAATCACGATACTAAAGTTTTTTAGTACTACACATAAATCTTTTTTTTTTTGAGAAATGACTTAAGATTTTCAAGGTTAGAAATAAAGTATGGTTTTAAAAAAATGTTAAAATTTTAAAACTTAATGTATGAGGTTTAACACAAATGAGCCACAACTTTATATTCTGACAAACAGCTAATGAGTCTTAATTAGATGCATTGATTACTTTAGGGCCTGCAAGAAAATACTGAAAAAATTACTTGAAAATCAACTTTTTTTTGCCTACAATGTTAAGTTTCCGATCGCCAAAATAAATTAATATTCAGGCTAGACGTTAATGGCCACTATAATAATTTATTTGATATTAATGATAACTAATTATTTTTTTAAAATTCTTACACAAAATTTTAATATTATTTAATCGAAGGATAAAAGTATAATTGAAAAAAAATACTATGGTCAGGTTATCATCAAGATAGAGCCAGGCATACAAAGCAATCTAGCGACACAGGGAAATCAGAAATTCTCAAATAGTTTATCTTGAGGCTCAAGTCTCTGTAGCGTGACCGCGTCGACTGGTGTGATTACGTCTAAAAACGTAGACGGACTAAGTAATTGACACACGGCCTCCAAGTGATTGACGCAGCCTCCAAGTGATTGACGCAGCCTCCATGGGATTGACACGGCCTCCAAGTGATTGACACCGCCTCCATCTCAGTTGCTCAGACTGAGTAACAAAGACATACGCAGTACAAACGAAAGCCTATCTGAGGAAGAATCACCGAAATTGCGGTCAAGTGGACCAGCACTTATTGAAGATGTTGTGATGAGGTCATGTTATGTTCATTTAGTTGTTGATGTACGCAAATTTCCAAGGGTCACCCTGACATTTTATGCACTAATATATGCAAGATATGCAAGAATGTGGAATGAAATTAACTACATTTCTTTATACTAAATATATAAAGGCAAAAAATGACAAAAACACACACAAAAAATACAGTTTAATTTAAAGCAATGTATATGTAGATAGAGAATATACGTTTACATTGAGAAGATAAGTTTACATTGAGAACATAAGTTTACACAGACTAACAAAAATTGTTTCAGTATACATTCTGATATCTAAGACATATGTTAGGGTTACAACAATATAGGTTGCATACATGCTTACAATATGTATCATCATTGACTTACAGAGTATAGACAAATAGAAAATAATATCAACTGCGAAAATTAAAAAAAAAACAACTAAAAATCAATATAACACATATAATGACTGGCGTGTTAGAGATTTTCACATGCATTATAATTTCGTAAGAAGTTAATTATTGAGTAGTTAGATAATTGCATTCAAACAACACTACCGACATGTCTAGTGAGCTCGGAGCGGTGGGGAGGGCAAAGTGTCTCTTGTCAACATGTGCTGACTTTCATGGGAAAGGTTTGAGTTCACATACACTTCTGTTGAGACAAGGATTTTGAAACAATCAAAGCTACGGCTCTTCGTCAGAAGTACACCCTGTTGTGTACTCAGTGCGTATCCTGGTGAAATGTTTGGGGACCGGATGTTACAGCACTCAGTTATGTATTTCAACCACTACCCCCAACTTTACCTTTAAGGAGAATTCATTTTTTAATTTTTTTTTGCGTGCCCCCGTAAGCTGATTATATCCTGTTTGAAACCAAAATCGCGGTATATAAGTAGCGTTAATTATTTGAGCCAGACACTACCGACACGCCCGCTTGAAAATCTCTTTTCACTAAAGAAAAGAAAAACTCCATTTAATCGAGAGGTACTGAATACTTTCAACATCTGACCTATACAATACAAAATGGCCGGTTTAATCAGTGGTTTCTTCTGCATTGCCTTTCTGATCGCTGGGAGCACTGCTGGTTTTGTCAACGACTGGGACCAGCCGTTTAATTTCAATTGTCCGTCTGGGCAGATCATCAACTTTGTCTCTAGTATCCATAACAACCGTAAAGAAGACAGACGCTGGGAGTTTCTTTGCAAGGGAGTCGGCAACACACATTCATGTTCTGACAGTGGTAAGTGTCCCCCTTCTTTCCCCCATATCTCACCAAAGAATTAATGATAAAAAAATTGTTTTAAATTAGTTCATGCTGGTCTACCTTTATTTTTTAATGCAATTTTTATCAATCAGTACCAAAAAAAAATCAAAAAGAAAATTATAAAGATCAATTTAATTAAATTATCTTCTTAAATATTTTTACATGAAACATTTAAACATTTCCATTATAAAATGGATTAAGACAATATCTTTGTAACTAGCAAATATCTGACGAATATTTAAAAATTCTAATTAATTCTTCAAGTTAAGGTTTAATAAGCAATCGAATAATTCATTTAATAAATATTTATTTTATTAATATAAATGAATATTCATTTGAAAAGGGCGTAACTGATTTAATTTATAATGTCTTTTTTAAATGAAGGGAATGTGCTCAATATTTTCACATCCATTTGTACCGACCTCTTTATTTTTGCGGATCGCCAAATAATCAAAGGAATTTAATTATGTTTTTAAATTCTCATTATCTATGTAAAGTTTATATGTTTTAAATGAACCCAATGACGTGATGTAGTTACCTGAAATTACCCGGAAAACAATGGCGGGTTGCAGTCCGTGAGTTTCCCATCTACTAAAGTTACTTGACAAAATATGCATTCAAGAAATTGTTGATCGAAATACCAATAGGTTGTAACTTTGCGGGATTTTACTTTGCAAATTAATATTTGTGAGGTTAGGTCCAGTTTCACATCTTTTTGATGGCACTGTTAAAGCTAAATCTTAAAATCTCAGAGAGTAACATGTCTAACCACCCCCCCCCCCCCCTCCTAATCTGTCCTGTACCTCTTTCAAAGGACGAACATGAAATGGTAGAGTAGCTTTAAAAAAGCCTTGATCATTATAATTCTCTCTCAAAAATTAAAAAAAAACATTTTCAAGATTGATCCCCATTCACAACTAGCAGAAGTTAATTATTTTCTATTAATATTTTTATCGATTTTCGAGAATAATCCTCCAATAGCATCTTCTTTTCGAAAGTGGGGACAAATGGCGGATGCAGCTTTGCATCCTTGACAAACTGCATATTCACTTTCAATTAGCGTTGCCTTTAGTGCTGTTAGATTGACGCATTCTGTATTTTTATAACATGATTAAAATTGCGACATTAACGTTTCTTAACATCAGTTCACACGTTAAAATTTGCGATCATGCATTCGATGCAATTTTTGAAATGAAACCTTGTCACAATTTTCAATCTATTATATGATCGAATTTTAATTTTTGTCAAAAATAGCAAAAAAAAACAACAACAAAAAAAAACAACAAGAAAAACGCGCACACAATAGTGCATTCATACAAAAATTTGATGCGACTTTGTAGCTAATTTGATCGTGTGAACTGACGCTTGCACCAACAAGCGACCAAACTTATCAATGAAAATATTTTTTTTTTTTCTGCGCGCTTCTATCGGGAAGGGCTTGGGTTAAAAAGTAGTTAAACATTCCACGAATCTGCATGTCATCTTTGGTCAAAACGCCATGCTATATACCAATAAGAATCAAAGTTAACACTGAAAGAGCTGACGACATTGTTTGCTCACTAAAAATCAAATTATAAAAGGAAAGTCCTCTGTATTGTTAAATCTCTTGTCTATTCCGTCAGGATATGTCAACACGTTCGACAACCCTCTCGTCTTCAAATGTCCGGGCGATCAGGTGATCACCGGCGTCAACAGTTACCATAGCAACAAGCACGAGGATCGCAGATTCGGCTTCCAGTGCTGCAACGTCCAGGGGCGCCAACCACGCGACTGCTACATCACCGGCAACGTCAACGATTGGGACGGCAAGCTGACCTTAGCCGTACCCGAGGGCAAGGCCATCAAGGGTGCCTACAGCCACCACAACAACCGCCGCGAAGACAGGCTGTGGCAATTCGAAATCTGCACATTATAGATAACTTGAAGAATTAGCCATGTTTCTAAGATACTAGTAATTTGCTCTAATGATAAAGTCTGGAGACATTACATGAGATGATAAGTGCCACAGAATATTATATTACACTGTTTTATGGTTTTGTTGTTTACAAGTAATAGTTTTACTTTTTTACAATTTGTCAAATAGGAACCTGATTGCGAATGAGATATGGATCTTATTTGTGAAGTGTTTTTTTAAATGTTTCCAATGAATTTTATGAAGAAAGTTTGGTTGCGTGATTGAATATACAAGCTTGTTTTAAAAATAAATTCAATATTTTAAATCTTAAAGTGTAAGTGATCCTTTTTGGATAATAAAATGAGATTCCTTCAAAGTTTATTTTTCATCCACTAAGATGTCCCAGTGGAGATAGACTTGGAGCAACGTTAACTTGTCTTTTTTTTTTTTAAAGTTCAATCTAATTTAGTAATGATTTCACTCGCCGTTTCCCAAAAGCCGGGTTGCGACCATTACCGGGCCAACGATGAACAATCAACGGTTTATCGATAGAAGACAGTTATGGTTTAAAACTAGGTTAGATCATCGTGACGTACTCGTTAATAAATTATTGGTAAGTCTTATTTCTTTACATTTTTGTAAGAGTCAAAATTCTTATCTATACTTTATCTATAGTCCATTTTATGCCAGTATACTTCAGTATAGGCGATTAAAATGATTATAATGATTTTTTCCTCATGATTGTATTTAATTACAACTCCACTCTATGATGGCTTGCCATTGATACCTCATGAAATAAACCGATCTCTGTCTGAAATGTTCACATTGCTGTTTTTAAATTCGTTAAGATTTCTTTATACGTGTTTTCTAAATATGTCTTTGTCTTAAACTTCTATAACACAACTCAAAAATACATTTATGATAATACAGACATTTAAGGTGCATGTATATTGTTGAAAGGGTAGCTTGGTTGACGAGAAATCTAAACTGAGTTTATCCCATGCTACTGAACTCAAAACGCGGAAAACTTCTTGACCAGCAAAGACAATAGTGGCACAACGGTTCATTGGACTCGATGGCTTGGATGGCAACTCATCTAAGAAAAGACAAACAAATCAAAACCGGAGACGGAGTCCTGTGGGGGTTATGATGTTGACGTCATGAAAATTCCGACAACTCCTGCGACGCAGAAAGTATCAAGAGCACAGTCATACACATGAAACACTGCTGGTCTATGTGCAGACGTCTTGACTAAGTATCGCCACCAGATCAAATAGACAAGGACGACGGAGTGAGGCTGATGACTAGAGCAAATCTCCCTCACTTAAGAAACAAAACAAACTGCAACTCAATTCAAGGCCACTACTGAAGTCTAAATTACTCTTTGGCTATCTTCATTGCCATTGGTCCTCTTCATTGCCTTGGTCGTCTTCATTGCCATTGGTCCTCTTCATTGCCTTGGTCGTCTTCATTGCCATTGGTCCTCTTCATTGCCTTGGTCGTCTTCATTGCCATTGGTCCTCTTCATTGCCTTGGTCGTCTTCATTGCCATTGGTCCTCTTCATTGCCTTGGTCGTCTTCATTGCCATTGGTCCTCTTCATTGCCTTGGTCGTCTTCATTGCCATTGGTCCTCTTCATTGCCTTGGTCGTCTTCATTGCCATTGGTCCTCTTCATTGCCTTGGTTGTCGTCATTGCCATTGGTCCTCTTCATTGCCTTTGTCGTCTTCATTGCCATTGGTCCTCTTCATTGCCTTGGTCGTCTTCATTGCCATTGGTCCTCTTCATTGCCTTGGTTATCGTCATTGCCTTGATCATCTTCATTCCTCCGGTAATCTTCATGTGCGAAAGACGAACACGAACGTGACTACTATTTGCAAAAGTGCAGTAACGATGACGCCAAATTACGTTACTCTATTAGAACTCCAAATGTGTTAAATCAATGTAAAAAGTTGCAACTTGGTTATTTGATTAACAATTTGTTCAGACTGTCTTTTTTTAAATTTTAAACTTTCTATGTAAAACATAAAAATTACGAAATTAACATTAAATTATTTTATAACCAAAAAGTAGCAAATTACAAGCACAAAGCAAACAAGATTATCCTCAATTACAGCTCATAAAACATAACATGTACAAGCAACATATATAACAACTTTTATTTTTATCATGCATCTTATTAAACATAACCTGCACGTACATCATATAAAGCGCGGCGAGGTTATATGAGAGTGCGCCATTGCTGTTGGGGTAATTTACAGAGCGGTCGCCTGTTGAAGTTATTTTGGGGTGGAATTGTTAGGAGGATGAGGTTAAGGTTAATAGATTGTCGCAATTTTGAGGTCGAGGGGAGAAAGCAGTTACGTGGGAACCGTTGAAAGAGGACTGTTGAGAGGGAATAAGCGAAAGAGATCATGAGACGACATTTGAACATCTGAACATATGAATAGATGAGACGCTACAGTTGAACTGTTTAGAAACAGTCATAGCTATAAAGATACACATAGATAGTTGACAGTTAGCGGTACCAAGAGAAGAGCTTTGTATCTTAGAAAAAACACAAACTATTTCATCATTTGGAGTATGTGTTATTTGGATTCCATTCATGGAGTGTGGGCTATTTGGATTTCATTCAAATCTATGTTGTGCTTTAGTATGTCCCAACGCCTAGCTACCCACAATATAAATCGCAGAGAGGAGTAATCTTGTGCTAACCACTAATAACTAAATCAATATGGTATGTGATACTACCAGACCGGATTCCTTCGCGCGTAACAACCGCTCTGTGACACCTGAACATACATCATATAAAGCATAACCAGTATTCGTGCGTTTGGCATTCTGTTTGACAGCTTTACACATATTCATATAACATGATTTTTATTTTTGCATTTTTAAAGCAAAATTATATTATTGTTCAATTGTTGTTGGTTTTGTAAGCTCTTAATATGGGTTATCCGTGTGGAAATCCCGACAGAGGGTGGGGCCATCAGCCAAAATTAGTGGCTTTACCGAAGTTGTCAGGCAAAGGATTACGGGCCAGGCAGCTCAGCACATTCAGGGCAGTTTAACCCATTTAGAGCAGCTCAACCCATTCAGGGCAGCTCAACACATAAAGGGCAGCCAAACCAATTCAGGTCAGTCATTTGAAGTATTATTAACGGGGACTGAAAAGTTTTTCGTAAGAAATTAGTTCCAAGCAAATTTGTTCGATATAAACTTTGTTGGTACAGAAATTCTTACAAATTTTCGGAAATTCTAGTTAACAGGCTCCAAAGATTTTGCACTGTACATTCGTTGAGTTTGAGATCAGATAAGTGTACGTGGTGACAAGGCCACATTGTTGGACATCTCTGTCATGATGTTATACACACATTTTTAAAAAATAAAAAGGCATTTGAACGAAGCTTTAATCTCAAGGTTACATGAAGAGAAGATATTTACCTTTCCAGTAGATTGTATTTAAGAATCTCGCATGCGAGTGCCATGCAATTTAAAGAAGTCTAGAACTTCGACTTGGTAATACTTTTTAAATATAAAACTACGGCCCATGGGCCAAGTCCTGCCCTCAAGGGGGTTTTAACCCGGCCCTTTTATCCGCCGTTACAGATACTAGGGCAACAATGACAACACTGGAAGCTAATATTTACAGAATCGTCAGCTAAACGAGGCTCATAATGTCCTTTAAAATGACTGAAAAATTTTTGAAGTTTAAAATAGTTTTAAGTTGTTTTGTTATTTTTCTCTTTTTTTTCTTTTAACTACAAATTTGAACAATATGCAGTGTGGATATAAATGTGTTCCTATTTTGTTCCAACCATGTCTGGACCACAACAGTGTCTGACGGACCGTAAACACCAGAGTCAAAACATTGAGAACCCGCGTATGTAAAACGCTTTTTAAAAAAAGTTATGAAATAAAGTAATTTTTGAAGATGTTGACTATCAATTTTTTTTTTTTTTTTTGTTTTTTTTTTTTATTTTTTTTTTTTTTTTTTTTTTTTGTGTGTGTTTGTTTTAGCTTAAGAAGTTTTGAGTATTTAAAAAATCAATTCTCGACAGCTTTAACGGCCCACTGTTCAGTCGTGACGATCTCAAGACTTGAGAAGTCAGACTTGATATTTAAGAGTTAACTTTGCCATCAGTCCTGGTCAACTGTTAACTTTTACCATTAGTCCTAGTCCACTGTTAACTTTTCCATCAGTCCTGGTCCACTGTTAACTTTAAAGGGGATTTTAACCTTTTTGTGTAACTGGGTGAGATTCTCCTTTAAAGTATCTTATAGACAACTTTAAATAAATATGCTAAATATGCAGTACATAAAGAAAATAAAACCTGAAAGCCATCTTGTTGACTTTTATAATAAACTAGCCATTATACTCGTCGTGGCCCGGAATTGCACATGGACCCCAATCCCGGCCCAGTCCCGTATCACGATGTGATCCTGATGGGATTCCGTTCTCCGATGGGATAGCATATCCCATGGGCTCCATTTTACTGTTGGATCTCGTTCCCAATTAGGATCCTGTTCATCTATGGGATCATGCTCAGTGCGATTTTCTTCGAATAAGCTTTATATCCCATTATTATATATCCCAGTAGAACAATATAGAACCTTCTGGAACATTCTATATTGAATTGAATATCCTCCATGAAACGTGTAAAAAAATTACTTTTCTACGTAATTAAGCTAGAATGCGAAATATTATAAAACTAAATTTTAATACTATTGTACATTTTACTATAGTACATTTAAATTGAAATAGGTGCCCTGGTGGGGGACTATTTAATAAAGTACCATTTTAGTAATGTCTGAGATGGGCCTATAAAAATTATTCAGATAAATTCTAGAGTTAAAATTTAACTTGTCCCATTAAAATTCGTTTAAGAATTCAATAGAAATAGCTTTTTTATATTTATCTAACTCTCAAGAAAATGTTTAGATCGTCCCTGAATGGATTGAATATTATTAGTTTTAAATCCACCAATATTTCAATACGGACTAACAATGGCCTCTAAGGTATTGCTACAAAGCTATACCTATATGCATCAGTTAGAGACCGACAGAATTTCGGCTTCGTTTTCAGCGCCGAAAGGGGCCATTTGATATTTTTCGGCCTAGTTTCAGTTTCGGCCGAAATTAAAAGTTAACTTTCGGTTTAATTTCAGTTTCGACCGAAAGGGACTAAGACTTTCGGCCGTCCGGAGTGTCTGTCTCTAGGCCGAAAATCTGATACTCACTAGTGCTCGTTCAATGTATGTTATATGACTAATACTCCGTGAAAGCTGCCCACAGCTGCATGATGACCTCTTGGACCTTTATTTCCATAAAATTACATTTTAATTAGGCCTAGACAAATGTAAACAGTTTTGTGGGAGAAAAACTAAGGAAATGGTAATATTTATATAATTATTTTTGTTTTAATTTGTTGTTTTTTTCAAAAATAAATTTGGAACCCTAGGTTTATTCACTTCCTTCATTTGTGATATTTATTATAAATGATTATTATCATGCTCATCAATGTTGTCATTGACGAAGGTGAATAATATTGCGTAATCATTCGAAGGGTCAAGTTTCAATTATTATTTTTGTTTTATTTTTTTGAATAATATTTTTTTAATGCAAACTCAGGCCTTTTCAAACCAATCAATTCTTGAAATTCATCATTATCACGCCCACAAACATTGTTATTGACGAAACTACATGAGTGTGCATGTATCACGGGTTCGTGTTATAATTATGTATTAAGGCTACTGCAGACCTGTTTACTTATATGATGTTGGCAACGATTTACATGTCTTTTGCGGTTCTCCGTCAAGACC